TTTTATTTTTTTAGTAATTTTAATTAATATTTTATTTATTTATGTGATAGAAAAATATAAGAAAACTTACATTAGAACATGACATGGTACAACATTTCTAGACAAGGCCTCACGTGGGATTTATATTATGTAGTCTCCAATATGTATTTTCATCTTGTAGTTATTAGGATTTTTATATGTAATTTTAATTTTGCAATTATGATTAGATGTTATAATATTTTTAAGAAAGATAAGCCAAAAAAAAAAAAAAAAAAACCTTTCTTACTAAAATTGATCTCACTATTGCCCGATTTATGTTAGTGCTAGAGCTTTCCTTTTGGAGGATCTCAATTTATTTGGCATTCGAATCCTGTGTTTTAGCCTTTCAGGAGCGGACCCATGTCGAAGATGGGTTGATGTTTCCTCCTCCAAAAAAAAAACACTTTTTATAATTTTAAAGTTTTTCAAAGGTAAGTCGTACCTACTAGAAAAAAAATAATATTCAATGCTTTTTAATTTTTGGGTTTTTATGTTTAATTATATGTTTAAATTGAAGAAAATAAAAAACAATTAAATTATATTGTTTTAAAAATAATATAATTTAATTATTTTTTAAATAAATATAAATTAAAAAAATTTAAATCTAAAATTAAAAATTAAGAATACACCTTTACAACTTTATAACCAATTAACTTTCAAAAATCAATTGTAAAGAAAACACTAATTTTTTTTGAATAAATTAAAATTTATTAAAAATAAAAATTCATATTCCAATTTTGAAATTGAAATGCACCTTTTAATTAAATGTATAGCTACCAAGTCATGAGACCCAAGTGCAAGGAAAACACTAATTTAGTAGTTCAAAGCAAAAAGATAAAAATAGCGTTGAGCTGGGGCAACTAATTAGAAAAAGATGTTAAATTGAGTTTTTGAATCTAGTTATTCATTTTCAAGTTTTAAGTATTTATATATAATAAGTAAAAAATTCGAATTTCACTGACAATTTAGAAAAAAAATCCTCCTCTTCCAGAAAAAAAAAACGCACTCTGATTACAAAAACGTGTGTTATTTTTTCGGTACACTTATATACGGTACAAAATTAACTATACGGCGGAGTTTTTTGCTTTTCATTGATAGTTTTCAGCGCTGGCACACAAAAAAAAAAAAAAAAAAAAAGGAAAACCTTTTTAGCAATGTTTTTAGCCTTTTTAAAGAAACAGATTACCTAATATAAAACCATAAAAAAGAAAAAAGAAAAATAGTAAGATTAACTAAAACAAAACTAATAAAAAAATAGTGAGATTCAATTGTATATACACAGTACTCCTAGCCCTCCCTTAACATGGCAAAAACGAAAAGACAGTATTTGCGATGAATATCATTAGCTCCTCTTTTTTGTTTCGAAAAAATTATTTTGAAATTTTTTTATGATTAAAGAAAATTAAGATATTTTTTAATTAAAATATTATAAATAATATTAAAAAAAATTAAATGATTTTGATAAATCAATATACAAACAAAATTTATTAAAAATATTTTAATAATTTTATTAAAAATCTGGACATTTAAATTTATGGTACATCCAGATTTTTATTTTTTGATATTTTTTTAATGTTATTAAGAGACTTTCCTGTCAAACTAAAAGAAATAATTCTACTTCCTCGTAAAATAAAATGCAAAATGGTTGAGTAATCTCGCAAAAGTCAAAATCCCTGCAAATCCAACAAACCTCCACGTTTCATCACAAAGCCAACAAATCACCTACGAACTGCACTTCGGTATGCTCAGAATCGGTTGGAGCATTCAGTCGGAACACTAGCATTAACAAAGGAAAAAACAGGTCAGGTGACATCCGATTTTTGCATTTCCCCCTTTTTTCATCTTGTCTTTTAGGTTTCGATACTTGGTTTTTCTTAATAATTCCCTTTATCAGTTCCTTTATTGAGTGTTTAATGATTCCGTTTTCCTGGGCGATGATTATTTGAATGAGGGATTTTTCTTTTTAGGGTTTTTATAGAGGGTGAAATTGTTGTTTCCTTGATGGCTGAAATGCGAAAACAGTGCAGCGGTATGGACAACTTTAGTAGATTACCTGATGACCTTGTTTTGTGTATTATCTCATTACTTCCTATGAAGGATGCTGTTCGTACCTCTATACTTTCATCAAGGTGGAGGTATCTTTACGCTTCAAGTTCTAACCTTGACTTTGATTTGGGGTCCAATTCTATTGATTTCGTGGATTTTGTGGATAGAGTGTTCTTTTTACGGAAGGGATGCCCTATAAATAGATTTCGTCTCAGAATCTGTTGCTTAGAGTCAAGGGATAGTTGCGTTTCTCGCATTCGAGAGTGGATAATTGCTGTAATGCAGCTTGATGTTAGAGAGCTTGAATTATCCCTTGATATTGAGGTGCTACTGCTACTGCCGCCTAGTTTATTTACTTGTGAGACATTGGTGGTTCTGAAGTTGAGTGCTTGCCCTGAGTCTGGAGAGGATGGTTCTGATGAGTCGAGTTTAAAAGTCCCTGCCAATGTTTGCCTCCCTAGTCTTCAGGTTCTTCACCTTGTAGATTTTACCTTTTCGGATGATTGCCGTAAAAGGCTATTTTCTAACTGCCCTGTTCTTGAGGATTTAAAATGCAGTTTCGAGGAAAGTAACTGGAAATTCATTGTTTGTAATCTTATGCTCAAGAGGCTGACCATAACTTCCTCTGAGTACTTTGGTGGCAGATCTGAGATTGTGGTTGATGCACCTGGTCTTGACTACTTGGAGTTGTCTGTTTGGGATGTATACTCTTGTACATTTCTGAGCGTCCAGGCTCTTACTAAAGCCAATGTTCGTTTTCTATGTCATGAATGGGACTCTCAAGATGAGACTTATAAAAATGCTGTAGCTAATCTGATGAAAGCCATAAGCAACATCCAGACATTTCATATTTGTAATTCAACTCTATTTGTAGGTTTTCTAACCACAAATTATGAATCACCTACTTCTTAACTTTAATGATCTTTCTATTGCTAAATACATGCAACTAACCATAGCTTTACTTTGCAGGAATTTAATTATAGTGGCATTCCAATCCCTGAGTTGAACAATATTACTCATTTGACAATTGCTTCTTGTGAAGTGGGGTTCTTTCTAGAACTACAATATATACTTGCAGCTTGTACATCATTAGAAACCCTGGTTTTGAAGGTATGAAATAAAATGACCAAAATGACCATAAATTACGCCAGTGAAGAGTTGAAATTGTATGTGACTTTTACTCTTTGACTTTTATCAGGGTGCTTTTGAGTATGAATGGCACCCCGGAGAGGAAGTTGGAATCAATTGTTTGTCATTTTGTGTGAAGAAAATTGTAATTTTATGGTTTGAAGGTGGTGAAGATGACATTGAACTAGCAAAGTATTTTCTTCAAAGTGCAAAAGTTCTAGCAAGCATGGAAATTCATATCAAGGGAGGATATCATGATCAATTGGAGATCACCAAAGAGTTACTAAGGTTACCGAGAGCCTCAAATGGATGCATTGTTGACATTGTTTAGGTTTCTCCAACTTTCTTATATGTTGATTTGTCTGTTGTTATTTCAGTTAGTCACAACTCATTTATCAGAGATGCCGTCATTTCCTTCTTCTGGATATGTATGGATTGTTTTGACAGTACTGCTTTATTTTCTATATACTGGTACCTATATTTTGGAATTATATGCTGTTCAAAACTATCCTATATCAATAAAAAGTAGTTTTAAGGTGATACAGCTCGTCCATGAGTATCTAGTGAACTGTTTTCATTTGTGTACCATTTGGACAATGAGATGGCATAGCATTATACTGATCATGAAAGAGTGGACGGAGTTGATCAAGTTTGTAGGTGAGATAGATGTATGTGAGATCAAGTTAGTTAGTATGTTAGTTTAGAACTTCTTTTGTTTAGAAACTGCTGGTATATATTTTTCAAATTAGCAACAGTTATGTTTATGTTTTTTATGGAAATCTGAGTGTAACAATTACTCAGTTTAGTCTTCTTGTCACAGTGTAAGCTAAATGATGAGGGTGTGGTAAAATTGAACCCTTAGGGTGGCCTGTGACAGTGAGATTATAAACATTTTATCAGTTTGTATAATAATGTTTTTGCTGTCATGGTAATTTTCTTACTATTATTTGCAGTGCTTTAATGCAAGATGTGTATGGAAAGAACAGAGTCTGAAAAAATTTCAATTTTTTTCCCAACTTGCTGACTGCCTAACTTTAATTTTAGTTCATTGCCGTGTATCTTTCCTAGCCCCCTCTCGTTCTCTTCACAGATCTCTCAAGTCTCCATAACTAACAAGAATGGATCAATTGAAGATGAAAGTTAAAATTATTCAGTTCTATTGGAACTTGTCCAAAAAAAAGGAACTACCATGGGAAATGCTAAATCACCTCATGTGAATAACTTGTGCGGCTAAGTATGACTTTCCTTTCCTTTCCTTTTGCGGCATCTTAAAGGGGATGGTGTTGCAATTCCTTTGCTCAGTTAATTTCAGTTCTCATTATAAGGCATGCTAGTTCTGGCTACAACTTCTTCTCTATGGATTGTGAAGTCCATTCTTTTTTACCATTTGTCTCTCCAAAACCAAAAAAAAAAAAAAGAAAAGAAAAAGAAGATGTTTTTTAAGTTTGATTAATCTGAAGTCTAGATATTGAAATTGTTAAACCATCTTTAAGGAAACTCTTTTCTATTTTTTTTTTTCTTTTAATGGTAATTTAGTAATTTTAGTACTAGAAAAGGTTAAGGGGATTATTAAAGCCCAAGGTGCGGCGGAGATGAAAGCAGAAATGCTGAGCTATTAACACTTGGCGGGAAAAGTCCTTACTCGTAAGGTAGTAAATATTACAAAATTGCCAGCCCAAATGACTCATTTATGGCGGATATGGAACGGGGCTTTCAAGTTCGTCCCCTAGGTGATAACATCTTTGTGTTTGCCTTTATTAATGAAGAAGAACGTGTTATGGTGTTAATGAAAACTCCCCGTTATTGTTTAATGATAAAATCCTCATTGTTTTATCTGAATAAAAAATTAATTTATACACTTTTCAATTTAATATATTTATCAATGTTTACCAATTTAATCATTAAAATTTATAATTAAAAGTTTTTTTACTTCAAATTTAAATTTAAAAATAATAATTTTTTTAATACTAATTCCTAATATCCAGAAATCATATTGAAAATTTATAGGATTCGAACTTAAAATTTTATTTGAAAGGAATTGAACTCTTAGCATTCAGACCACCAGGTTATTGACAATAATATTTTTAATGAGTGTGTTAAAAATTGTGTTAAATAAAAATGTGTTGAAAATAATAATACAATAATCAGAAGGCTGTTAAAGAAATGGAGTTTTGTAAATGTCCCTCCGGAGTTCAACTTTTGGATCTAAAAATGGGATATGAATGAGGCTATGGGCAAGCTACTGGGAGAATCAGTTGGTACTGCATTATATGTGTACTTAGACGAGAACAATATGCTATGTGGCCCAACATTGCGTGTACGTGCACTCGTTGATATCCATTTACCAGAAAGGAGGGCGGTCAATGTGCAATTAGAATCCGGACACTAGGCACTGGAAAAAAAGGCAAAAATATGATATGAGGACCCGAACTTACACCAAATTCGCAATTTCGGACCCAAACTTCAATTGCACTCAATGAAGGTCCCGAACTTTTCTGCCGGACAAAAAAGGGAAACGGTTATCTGGAATATGTTATGGTTTTCTGTTACCTATTAATTTTTTGATAATTAGTGCTAAAAACTATAACTTTTTTTTATAGTGTTCTCAACTTTTCTAAAGAAACAGAATACCTAATAAACTATCAAGAAAAGAAAAACAGTGAAGTTACCTAAAGTGAACTATGTTTTATAATTTATATTATATTAGATTATAAAATATAAACTATTAAATAAGGAGAGGATCTCAATATTGAGGTGTTTAACCTTCATTTAATAGTTAATATAATGTATTTTGGTATATTTTAAACTGCATTATATATATAGATAAAATGTTTATCA